GCGGGGGGCGCGGCGTTGGCTGCCCCGGCCCCCGGGCCGGGCAGTGGGAGCACAGGGCCCCGCGTCTACTTCCAGAGTCCCCCAGGGGCCGCAGGCGAAGGCCCGGGGGGCGCCGATGATGATGGCCCGGTGAGACGGCAAGGGAAGGTCACCGTCAAGTACGACCGCAAGGAGCTACGGAAGCGCCTCAACCTGGAGGAGTGGATCTTAGAACAGCTCACGCGTCTCTACGACTGCCAGGTGTGCTCCCCACCCCGTGCCGATGCCCTAAAATCGGACCCAAGCCGGTCTGCGCGGAAACCCCACCGTCGGTCTGTTGTCAGTCGGTGGGAGCGAGGCTGCTCGCTCTTACACCAGCCGCTCCCCAGCGTGTGGTTTTTCTTGCCTGGCCTGAGTCACTACCTTTCCCCGCTACCTCGGACCTTGCGTCCTTCGTGGTACTGCCCCAGGTTAGACATGGTGTCATCCCCGAGCTTAGAGGGATGGATAGCCCGGTCTGGGACTGGAAGCCGTCTAGCTTGGGCTGACAGTGAAAGGTCTAACTAATCTGGTTAGTCTAGTCTGGGCTCGAATAGACACTAGTTGAAAGGCACAAGTGTAACTGTTTCAAGTGTATAAAGGATCGGAGTTGTTCTAGTGGTTAGCCTGCCATGCTGCCTGTCTGTGGAGGCCGGTTATCCAGTTTTCCCGGCTCTGGTTCTCCACCCCGTGACTCCCTGCTTGTTCAGATGGTGACTCAGGCCCCCAGGGGTAGGGTGGAGGAGTGGGATTGCCCTGTAATGCCTACCCTAGCCCAGCCCTGGAATGCAGCTGGCTCCAAGTGGGATAGCTGTTCCCTTGGGGAGGGGGGGATGTACCCCTTTCTCCTCAAAGCATGGGCTCTTTGTTTCCCCTTTATCAAGCATGGGTCTTTCCCACTGACCCCTCACCCTTCACTTCCTCCTCACTCCCAGGAAGCTGTGACAGGTGTTTGGGGGAGGGGAGGGGACTGTGATGAACTGGGACAGCTGGCCCCACCAGTGCCCTGGAAAGCTAGAGGTCCTGGATGCTGAGAAGGCACATCTGCTGGGTTCAAAGCCCAGCGTCCCCAGCCCTGTCTGTCTGGCGCCCCTGGTGCCCACTGGCAGGGACAGGAAGTTCCCCCTCATTGGGCAATTTGCCTTGGCACAGACCTGATCTGTTTTCCTTCCCAGAGCAGCTGTCTTCTGCCGGGCAAGGAAGGCTGGTCTGGTTTTGAGTTAGGGAGTCCTCTGCACATCTTCTCCTGCCTGAGGCACTGTCCTTTTCCACCCCTACCCCAGGAAGAGGAGATCCCAGAGCTGGAGATAGACGTGGACGAACTCTTGGACATGGAAAGTGATGATACCCGGGCTGCTCGAGTCAAGGTAAGCTGAAGTCATCTGTGGAAGGCTGCCTGGAGACACTGCCCCTTGGGAAGCTCGGCCCTGGTGCCATACCTTCCTTGCTTTGGGTCATCTTCCGCCTCTGGAAAAATGAGGCTCGTGGAACTTAACTTAGCTACGTTCCTAAGTGGCCTCGGCCTCTTGGGAGGGTACAGGTGAACTGTGAGTCCCTGTCCCCAAGAACTCACTCTATTCTCCCTCACCAGGAGCTGTTAGTTGACTGTTACAAACCCACTGAGGTAAGTCATTTTCTCTGACCTTAAGGTGGGTATGTATGTGTGGCAGATTATCATCTTGGGTCTTAGCCTCTCTAACGGCCTCCTCCTATCTAGGCCTTCATCTCTGGCCTGCTGGACAAGATCCGGGGCATGCAGAAGCTGAGCACACCCCAGAAGAAGTAAGGGTCCTGACCCAGATGACCATGGCTCCCACAGGACAATCGCTGCCCCTCAACCTTGTAGCAACAGCAATACCAGGGACCCTGCAGCCAGGCCTGGTGCCATGAGCAGGGATCCCCATGCCCCTGCCTAGGGGCCACTTCCCTTGCCCTCAGTTTTCCATTTTTGGGGTTTTTTATTGTTATTAAACTGATGGGACTTTTTGTGTTTTTATATTGATTCTGCGGCGCAGGCCCTTTAAAAATAAAGCTAGGATACGCCTTTGGAGCAGCTAACAGGCTTGGCTGGTCTTTTAGGGGGGGGGGACACACTGCTGTACAATTGTCACCAGCTCAGCTGCTCCCCAGGTGACCACAGGCCTTCCTGTGGGCCATGTAGCCATGGTGATAACCCATGCTGGCTCCCAGACTGGTATGCCAAGTGGCTGGGGAGCTGTGCTGCTACCAGCAATCTTAAGGGTTTTTATCTGCACTGGGTAAGGGTCTCCAGGCCATTGAGGCTGCAGCTCAAGGCCCTGCAATTATCAGGAAACCCGAGACTGAGGCTGGTGCTGTTTTCTCTTCCCCCATGCTGGGGATCCAACGTGTGTGTGTGTGTGTGTGTGTGTGTGTGTGTGTGTGTGTGTGTGTGTGTGTGTGTGTGTTTGGGGGGTCCTCATATTAGACCAGTGCCCCATCCTGAGCTATTTCCCCAACGCTGAAGCTAAGGTCTTAACCTAAGTCTCTTAGGATCCACAAAGAAACACAGACTCACTCTTGGGGTTTTAAAGGTTTTTTTGTTTTGTTTTGTTTGGAAGCACTCTGGTCCCTGACAGGGGTCTCCTACCCCTCTGCAGCCTGCTACAGTTCTGACCGTCGCTCAATCTTGAGCAGCTCCACCTCAAACACCAGGGTTGCTCCACCTGGAGGGAAAAGTGTGGTCAGACTGGGACCTGGGACCCTGGGAGAGTCATGGGGTGGGGGTGTTATGGGTATTACCTGGGATCTTTGGGGGAGCTCCCCGCTCTCCATACCCTGTCAAAAACACAAAGACACAGTAAGTTGTGGCCAGTCTCCCTTTCTAGCCCACATAAAGGATGATCTTGCCATAGGCAGGCAGAAGTGGAGGATGTAATGGAGAAGGATGAGGATGCCGAAGGTCTAGAGGGTCACACTACAGCTGAGCACGGGCCTTATCAGTTCTGACTGTGGGACACAAGCCAGAGTTGAAGTGGCATGTACTACAGTGACTAGTGTGGGGACCGATGAGGCTGAAGTGGCTTTAACCACTTGAGGTTAAAATCTAAGTGCCCCCCCCCACACACACACACACAATCCCCTAACCCCAAGGGCCTCTTACCCAGCTCAGATGGGATCACCAGCTTCCGCTTTTCCCCTTCACACATCCTGCAGGATGATACATGCTCAGCATGTGAGGCTCCCAGACCCCCAGGCCCTTGCCCCACAAATGGGCCTTTCCTCCCACAGCTTATTTCCTGGATCCCTGCAACATGGACCCCAAACTCACCCCAGCAGCCCCTGGTCCCAGCCCTTGATGACCTGACCGGTGCCGAGGGAGAAAACAAAGGGCTGGTTCTGTGGTAGACTGCTGTCAAACTCCGTCCCGTCTTCTAGCTTGCCCTGTGGGACCGTCAGAGAAGTAGTAAGGGGAGGCGACCACTCCAAAACCCCCTTCACCCAGCCGCTCCCCCCACCCCATCATCACGGTCACCACAGCGCTGGTGGTTACGCTCCTTAAAAGTCGGGACAATGCCTTGGTAGCTAATGTACAGTAATTTTCATGCTAACACTTAGCTGATGAGTAAACTGAGAGGCAAGGTAGAATCAGAAAGGAGGCCAAAGAGGGATGTGTTCAAGGTCATCTATCTAGTTGAGAGAAGAACAGGATTCCCAGTCCTTTCTGCTCTCCAGAGACTGACAGAGCCCCAGAACCTCCACCCTGATACCTACCGTGTAGTGCATGTGTAAGACATCTCCCTTTCTAGACTTGATGGGACAGTGGTCCACTCGTTTCTTCACTCCAATCTGCAGCTTCCGCTTGCCTTCGGCCCCCGTGGCTGTGCCCAGGGCACTCAGGCAAATGGACAGTACTGTCAGGACCCAGCTCAGCCTCATGTCTCTGTAGGCACAGCTCCCCTCCCCCGACCAAGGAGGGAGGGTCATGGAACTTCAGTCAGTATCGGGAGGACGCCACCCCCATTGTATCTTGCCTGTTCCTGGGAATCCCACTGTCACCACCCTATCCCCCTGGGCTCTACTGTCACACTTACCAGTCCAGTGAGAAGGGGGCTTGGCCGAGGACCCCAGCAGCGAGGGGAGGGGGTCAGGGGAGGCCACAGCAGCCAGGGCCCCGCCCCTTTGCTCAACACCAGACCTTCCCTTCCTCCCGGTCCCCATCTCCATTCTTCAGTTCCCACCAGCCCCTTTACGCAAGGTCCAAACCCTATCTGGTTGCACCGGATTAGTCCCGGGACGACCCCACTCGCGCCACACCCAGCTGCCTCCTGTCCAGCACACCCACACCTCTGCGGCTGCTGCAGGTGGCCGGCCCCGAGGCACCCACACATCTCCGCTAGGCGGCTCTGGGGAGCCCCGGTCTTCCGGAGGCACACCCCATCCCGGCCCCGTGTCTCCTCCGCCAGAGGCGCCCCCCCAGCTCTGAGCTCTCGGGGGCCTCCGGGGCACCCAGACTGGCCCCGAGTCAACCGGGCGCCGAGCCCGCTCCACCCACACAATCTCTCCAGGGGGAGTTCTCGGTCTACCGCGACCCCAGGCGCGGCCACCACGCAGACCGCCCCCACGTGGACGCCCCGGGCCATTACTTGGGCTTAGCTCTTCGCAAGGCTCCTTGGCCCCGCCCTTCAGGGAGCGCGGCTCCGCCCCCTGACCTGCAGCTCCGCCCTCGGCAATGCTAGGCCCCTTCTCCTGCACAGGTGCCGCGCCACTCACCGGCTGAAGCCCCGCCCCCGACGCCTGGGACCCCACGCCCTCCGTCTCCGAGCCCAAGGCTCCACCTTCCACCTGCTCCGGCTCCTCCTCTAAGCGCCAGACCCCGCCCCCCAGTCGTCCTAGCCCCTCCACGGGCCGCTGGGCTCCGCCCTCCACGGGCCGCAGGGCTCCGCCCTCCACTCGCACGAGATCCGTGGTCCCTCCCGCCGCTGTTCCGCGTCCAGCCCCGAGTCCCAGGGCTCCACCCAGTACGGCGTGAGAGCCCGCCCCCTGCGGCATTGCCAGACGCTGGACCCCCGCCCCAATTCCCTCGTCTGCTATCCCTCGCTGGCACGCGGATAACGGCCCGCTTCGGCCCGACCTGCCCCAGCCTGCCCTCCTGCACCCGAATCCCCCAGCCCGGGCTGTGGCCCCCCGCTCACCTCCTCGCCGCGCCCCCGGAGCCAATCCCGCTCGTGCTGTCACCTCTGCGCAGGCGCGTCCTCGTCGCTACAGGGCGGGACACGCTGCCCGCCCTCATTGGACCGTCCGAAACCCGCTGCCGGGCTCCCAGGGTGGGGCTTCTCGCCTAGCTCCGCCTCCTGAATTACCACGTGGATAAAGTCACTTCCGGCGCCCAGGTCACCTGTCGGGTTTGGTAAAAAAAAAAAAAATGATTTCTGAAAAGAAGGCACTTCCGGCCGAGGTGATATGGTCAAGCAAGCATGAGTAGCTGTGCCCAGAGGGGTTCTTGCCAGCACCATGCTTACTTCTCTGGTCACATCCCGCACGCCTTTGGTTGCTGTGGGGAGAGCCCAGGGTTCGCAGCGACAGCCCTGGTTTGAATCCTAGGTCTTTCACTTTTTGGCTGGCTGCGTGACCTTGAGCAAGTTCGGTCTCCTTGTGGGGCACCCTGTGACACCCATTCCACATGGCCCTGACCTATACGGTCTCCTTCCATCGTGTGGTCTGCAGCATCCAGGATCACCTTTGGTTGCTCACACTGCACAGTCACGGCCTGCGGTGACCTGGCTCGGCCTGATCTACCAGTACCCAGTGGACATTTGTCAAGCGAAGGACCCTAAAATTCAGAGGCAGCCAAACCTGAGTTAGGTTAGGGAGTCAGGTGAATTCATACCTGCCCCAGGCCAGTTTGCCTTGCTAAAACGCAATACTCAAGATGCCAAACAAAGATAACCATGGTGCTGACTTGAAGCCAAGGGAAGCATCGTGCATGTCTGATGAAGCTTAGTGGGTTCAGAGTTTAGCACTCAGGTTCTAACCATCATGGAGCCAGAACATGATCATCAGTATCACCACTGAGAAAGTTACTTAAACATAATAAAAATGGTGTGGTGTCCCACGCCTTTGGAGATGGAAGCAGGAGGATCAGAAGTTCAAGGACATCCCCAGCTGTATAAAGAATGCTGAGCCAGTCTGGGATACATGAGACATTGTCTCAAAAAAACAAAACAAAACAAAGGTTTAAAAGTAGCATCAGGGCTGGAGATGAATTGGTAGTGCTTGCTTAGCATGCAGGAATAGGTAGGTTTGATTCCCAGCCTGTGTGGTGGTCTAAACCTGTAATTTCAGTACTTGAAGGTGGATGCAGGAAGATTAGAAATTTATGTCATCTTTGGCTACATGAAGAGTTTGAGGCCAGCCTGGGCTAAGTGAGATTCTCATAAATGGATAAATAAGTATGTGGCCATCATCATCAGGAATTCTTCAGTTTACCCTACTCCTGCCTTGGTACCACCTAGATCATGACCATATACTCGTTATCAGTCCCTTCATTAGGGTGGCGGCTTTCAGTCAATTCTGCCCCTGAATTGTAGTAGGACAAAGCCTTGGTACCTAGGCTGGCCTTCCCACTTTATCCAGGACACTGAGCTTGAGTGGGATAGTTAGTTATCTCATTCTGCAGCTGATGAATCCTGGGGTGCGAGGGATTGTACAGGTGGAGGAGACTGTGTGTGTGGGAGGACGCGGTTCTTAAAAGAGGCCTTCCAGCCACAGGGCCGGCCTGAGAAATGAAAAGGGCAGTCACGGGGAACAATATCGTAAAATGTGCCCAGCAAGGGAAATGGCTGTTACCTCCTGTTGTGTGAAGGAAGTCATACTTGTCTGGAGCCCAAAGGGTTCCCATGGCAGCAGTCATCTGGAAACAGCTCTTAAGGTCTGGGTCCCACCTTAATTTTCCTGGCCAGGGCAGACAGAATCTTTGTGGTGGGTAGGGGGCAGAGACTTAACGTAACAGACTTGATGAGTCTGTGGTTGTAGCTTTGCCTGGGAACCATTGTTGGGCCCTGGGCCCCACCGGCACAGTAAGGCAAGCTGCAGGACTC